AACCTAATAGAATTTTCTCCATGAAAATTCTATTTGATACACAATATAATAATTAAGAAACCATTTACTTGTTGCTATTAAAAGATTCATTCGTTTATCAATTGACTTATATCATAAATTCACTCAATTATTAAGTCAAAAAGAATAACTGTTATATGTTTGGATGTAATTAATCCTTCCAGACGGTGACTTACGGTTATAACCCCGAACGGCATCATAAATTCTTGGCCAGCTTAGATATTTGCGGCAAAAAATACGACGGATCGAAAGGTGAGTATTAAAATTCGGAATGACCATGATAAAATATAATACAAGAAGTGAAAAGACTATTCTTCTAACCATAATGTCACATATTTGAACATTTATAAAAAGAATCCTAAGCTGAAATTTGTACTATCTCTTCCTTACAAGAAAACGCTCATCGTTTTGTATTGTTGACAACCTTTCACATCTGTTTCGACATTGTTATCAAAAGTTTCGCATGTTTGATAGATTAGGCAACGTTATTGTAGCAAATTTATTCACCTAGTTATAGCAATTACAATTCGATATCTAGCAACTGTATTAACATTCTGGTCCCTTATGCGTTGCAGGCTCCCCTACTGTTGAATCACTTGTATGCGCCGGTATCAAAGATGGCGGTGTACGTATATTCATATTTAATACATAATAATTAATAGAAATCCTTAACACATGCATTGTAGTTAAGTAGCTATTATTTTACTAACGTACACATCCATCGTTAGACATTAACATAAACGCTAAAGGAATGATAGATTTCTTATATATTCGTGAATAATTCGTAAGGTTATTGAAAGAAAAAATTTCATTAACTTTTGCAACAATATATTATGAATGTTTTTCAAGTAATGTTCATAAAAGATTATAATACTAATACGTTCGGGTTATTTCCTTTTTATACGAAAGTAAAAGTGAAAATTACTTATGATTTAAACATGTGTGAATATAAATTTTTTTCCTATAGCGAGTATTGAATATTCACATTAATGATAAGATAATATTTAATCACTGCAATCCTAAGCACTGAAATATTTGGGATCGCTGCGAGCTCTATAATTTAATCATTACGAATTATCAACAATATTATTAATAACAGTGTCTTAAATATTCAAAATAAGTAATTAATATCTGGCTTTGCAGTAATAAATTTCTGTAAGGGATGTAAAACAAATTAGCTATTTATTCATAAAATTAATCATGTTATCATAACGATTCATACGCAAAATAGTCCCTCTAGTTTTCATAACTAATACGATGTAATAGTAAATCATGCTATAATATATTACAGGTTTTCAATAAGAGAGGCGAGTACATGAAGGAAGCAGTTATTCAAGGACTTATAGATACTATTTCCGACCCGAGCCGGTTGGAAAAGGGCATAGAGATATATAAAAAGTGTCATGACGAAGGTAATCAATTTGTCAATCGTCTTTAAGAATAATTTTTCCAGCAAATGAATTCTATCATTATCACATTTAATTATAGGTGTTCAAAGCGGGGCCAAAGGAATAGAGCAGACTTTGGTAATTTCCAAATGCGGTTTGTCAATTATGCCTCTCCTCGACAAACCGTAACAAGGACGGCTTGCATATTTTCCCATGTGCGCATTACGAAACGAACGCTTATTACTTTTCTTTCCGAGACTCTGTATAACTTCATTTGTATTACTTGGTAAATTCAATTTTCCTTCGTCGGCTTGTGTGTTTGTACTGACAATTTAAAAAATAAAAATAAATGTAATTTGAATTAACATTGAATGGGATTAAGCAAATTCCGATCGAAAAAGTCAGACGATTGATAAATAAACAAATATATATCGAAATATGTG